GTGTGTGTGTGTGTGTGTGTGTGTGTGTGTGTGTGTGTGCGCATCGGGCGGAACTCCGCTGTGCGTGATGCAGAGAGCGCGACCATAACGTAGAGACTGAAATGACATGCCGTCGTGTAAATAAGATAGATAAAGGATATTTAGTTTGCTTAATGAAAGAACAAGGTATAGACATGTTCTATAAGAAAGGTAACTTTAAATTACTTCTGTTGTGATCTGGCGCTATAGAGAAAATATAATTAAATAATATTAACTTGACCTTCAAAGGGGGCGGGGGGTGCGGTTGGGGGGACGGGCCGCCCCCCTAAAATAATGGCAGGGGAAACACTGCTGTTACTTTATTTAGTACTTGGAGATGACTTGACAAACACAAATAAACCATATATTGTCGCAATCGTATGTTTAATGTCTTCATGTTTCCAAACGTTTCTGTTTTTCTGTGAAAACAACTGTTTTCACACAGCGAGAGCTGGATGCTTTTGTCCATATTAGGGATTTCCTGGTACGACTTTCTGCGCGAGAGCGCCTCCGACTTCGAGTATGAATGAAACATACACTGCATGAGTGTTTAGCGCTCTCGCCTTAATCTGGGTCCAAATAAAACATCAGGTCATGCACATGTAACGGGGGTATTTAGCCCGTTGTGTAGGGGAAATGGATTACGGCTGCCCTGGAAGTTTGGACAACGAAAGGATCTTGGTCCCCGCTCCCCAAACTTTTTAGTCTCGTTACACACTACCGTGTGTATGTGGTTTCTTACCTTATTGTGTTGGAACACTACTGATTGACAAGGGTAGGCTTCAGGTATGGTAACATTACACGGTGGCTTCCTGAAGTGAAATTGCATACATGAAAGTACAGTGTGATATGCTCCTCCCTCCCCAGATCTAATAAAGTAAGTGAGACTCCCCCACTCCCTGACAGCTCTCAACAGAAAGGTACACTGTACATAAGTGCAAAATTTATTATTTTAGATTTATTTTTCTTATGAATAATTATTTCTTGTTTGAGTAATCGATTAGATGAAAATCATAAAAAGAATTTAGTCTTTGTGCTGTCTTTTCAAATTCACACAATCACCGTGGTATAACAAATCCCTTATAAAACTTCAAAATGAGATCACTTGCAATTTGTAAATTGGTAAACGCACAAATTCTCACCTTTTCAAATGATCACCTTCAAACAATCACATTTGTAAACAACAACAACAAAAACAAAACACACAATTAAAGCTCACCTCAGAATGAGCACTTATATGAAATGTCTCTTCAAACGTTTACTCACAGTTACTCAAGTTTCACAGTCCACTTGAATTACCACAGTTCCCTGTTTCTCAGTTCAGAAACTCAAAAAAAACTGAAACAAATGAGAGGAATACCGTAGAACGATAAATTAGAGGGCGTTGACTGGATGTAGAGTGCGTTTGATTAAACTGAAGATCACAGTAGTTTTAAGTGTGTAAGTTCAAAAATTCACTCAGTCTTAAAAAAAACATCAAACTGAGATGAATCAACCTGAGATGTCACTTGGATGGCAGGGTAGCAACACAATCTTCAACCTTGAATCGGCGGTTAAGTTAAGTCTCTGCATTATACAACGATTTCAGTCTCACGTGCGGGAAACTTAATTGCACGTGAATGGTCCCGTTGAAATGTTAGCTCTTGGCGCTGCGTTTCAATCAAAACACCAGAGGTGCAAAATACAGCAACAGGACATGCAATAAGTCACTTGATGACAAAAATCAAGCAGGGTTTTCACTTTAAGCGTACTCACAGCTTCCGTGGTCAAAATGTATATTTTACTCAGAATTATTACGCTCCGTCTGTTTAGCGTGCATGTGTGCAGCGTGCCTCGCCCACTCCTGACAGCAAAATGGATATGTTTGCATGACTTTCTGACATTTACAGATGAAGAATATACCTGTGACATGTCAGTTATGCACTGAGGAAACACAACGTCTCAAATGCATTAAACAGCACAGATATTCCAGTGTTCAGTGTGCTGGTGTTTCTGATGGTCTCGCAGTGCAGTAAAGGCACAGCAGAGTGTCCAGTGTTCAGTGTTCAGTGTTTCTGAGAGCTGTGCTGGATGTTTTTCAGCTGGTGGGGCTCGGTCTGGTGGCTCTGGGAATGTGGCTCCGGTTCGGCGCGGAGACCCGAGGCTTCTTCGACATCGATCTGCACACCACACAGTTCAACATCGGTGTGTTCTGCTGCTGTTTCTGTCTGTCTGGCTGGTGTGAAGTAGCAGGTGTTTGAGCGTGTGTGTGTCTGTGTGTGTGTGTCCGCAGGAGTGATGGTGCTGGTGGTCACGGGGGTCCTGATGCTGCTGGTGGCCATCATCGGTGACTGCGGCGCCTGCAACAACAGCAAACCAGCTCTCGGCGTGGTGAGCATCGCTGCAGAAACAACAGCATTTCAGAAGAATCAAAACAAAGCTGTCAAACACCTTCACAATACAGAAGGACAAAACTCTCTTTTTTTCCTAAACCTGTAAATCATAAACCTCCTCTAATGTCATTGGCCAGTTCAACACTACAATGCAACTCTTCTTTCCCTCGTGCATATCTGAGGAAACACTTCTGTTTCAGAATTACAATAGAGAACTTTTTCCAAATGAGAGGAACTAGGTTTATAAACATTTCTGTTTTTCTGGGGTTCAGTTTTCTGGCCTGCTGACCGTTCTGATCATCATTGAAATCACAGCCGGTGTGATGGCCTTCATGTGGAGCGACAGGGTAAAACACACACACACACACACACACACATACGACACAGCTGACGCCTCTGTTCTTTCGGAGTGAAGTTTTGCTCGAAACAAAGAGACCAGTGCGAAGGGACCGTCTGCAAAGTGCGACAAAAGTTCCTAACACACACTGCGTAACTACACAGCGTCACCAACACCGCTGCTCTCTCTGCAACAGCTGTCCTGAAAATAATCGCGTTCGGATGGTTTTTATGATTTTTAATATTCAATAAACTCACTGTTGTTGGACAAATCGGTTAATAGCTTCACCGAGCAGTGGTGTGTGGACTGAATGTGGAGAAAATACCACTGAATGTTTAAAAATCATCAATCAATCAGTGTATTTTATACAGAGATCCGGAAAAGTCGAATCTGAGTATCTTGCCAACTTTCCAGTGTGAATGCACGGCTGCTGGTGTTTCAGTAAAGGCACAGCAGAGTGTTCAGTGTTCAGTGTTTCTGAGAGCTGTGCTGGATGTTTTTCAGCTGGTGGGGCTCGGTCTGGTGGCTCTGGGAATGTGGCTCCGGTTCGGCGCGGAGACCCGAGGCTTCTTCGACATCGATCTGCACACCACACAGTTCAACATCGGTGTGTTCTGCTGCTGTTTCTGTCTGTCTGGCTGGTGTGAAGTAGCAGGTGTTTGAGCGTGTGTGTGTCTGTGTGTGTGTGTCCGCAGGAGTGATGGTGCTGGTGGTCACGGGGGTCCTGATGCTGCTGGTGGCCATCATCGGTGACTGCGGCGCCTGCAACAACAGCAAACCAGCTCTCGGCGTGGTGAGCATCGCTGCAGAAACAACAGCATTTCAGAAGAATCAAAACAAAGCTGTCAAACACCTTCACAATACAGAAGGACAAAACTCTCTTTTTTTCCTAAACCTGTAAATCATAAACCTCCTCTAATGTCATTGGCCAGTTCAACACTACAATGCAACTCTTCCTGCATATCTGAGGAAACACTTCTGTTTCAGAATTACAATAGAGAACTTTTTCCAAATGAGAGGAACTAGGTTTATAAACATTTCTGTTTTTCTGGGGTTCAGTTTTCTGGCCTGCTGACCGTTCTGATCATCATTGAAATCACAGCCGGTGTGATGGCCTTCATGTGGAGCGACAGGGTAAAACACACACACACACACACACACACAGACGTGTTTGTATAATAGAGCTGGTTTTAATGTGTGCGTGTTGTGTTGCAGGTGTCAGATGAGTTGGTGAACTTCTATGCCACCATCTACGCTCAGTATCTCAACACCAGGAGCCCCGCTCAAGCCGTCACCCTCGAATTGTTCAACAATGCTGTAAGATGCACACACACACACACACACAGACAGACAGACACACACACACACACACACACACACACACACACACACATGTGGTCTAACAGGCGTGTGTTTGTGTTTCAGTTTGATTGCTGCGGTGTCGGTGGACCGATTGAGATGTTTGTGCGAGACACCTGTCCAAAAGGCAGCTTTCTGCAGAAGCTGATGTATTCTGTGAGTCACTTCCTGTTTATCTTGCTCTGATTTCTGGCTGTTTGAAGTTAGAGGAGTGCAGGCGCTCATCCGTGTGTGTGTGTGTGTGTGTGTGTATGTATGTAGAGCTGTCCCAGCGTGATCAAGGACGTGTTCCACTCGAACGCTCCGCTGGTGTTGGGAGGGTTTCTGGGGACGGCAGGAATCATGGTGAGTCCGTCTGGAGCTCTGCAACGTTCACACAGCGACATTCTAAAATACTCAACGTGAAAAACACTAAACATGGCTTAATGTGGTAAACGGTGTTTTAAAATGACCAAACTCAGTAAACACATTATTAATTAAAGTATACTATTTGCAGAAAAGCAGATATGAGTGCAGAATACGAACGCAATGCGTTTCTTCCCATTGTTTTAGAAAAACAATAAAAGAAAAAACTTAACGTGTTAAGCGTTTTTCATGTTAAGTGTTTTCAAGTGCTGAAAAACACTTCACGTCAAACACTTAACGTCAAACACTTAACGTCAAAAACGCTTCACATGAATTCATGTGAGGCGTTTTTCATGTTAAGTGTTAAGTTTTTTTCAGCTGAAGTGTTTTTCACGTGAAGCGTGTTTGACGTTAAATGTTTAACGTTAAGTATTTTTCACATTGTGTTTTTTAGCTGAAGTGTTTTTCACGTGAAGCATGTTTGACGTTAAGCGTTTGACGTTAAGTATTTTTGACGTGAAGTGTTTTTCAGCTGAAGTGTTTTTCACGTGAAGCGTGTTTGACGTTAAGTGTTTTTCACATTAAGTGTTAAGTGTTTTTCAGCTAAAGTGTTTTTCACGTGAAGTGTATTTGACATTAAGTGTTTTTCACGTTAAGTGTTCAGTGTTTTTCAGCTGAAGTGTTTTTCACGGGAAGCGTATTTGACGTTAAGTGTTTTTCACATTAAGTGTTAAGTGT